TTCTGTCACATTTAGAAGTTGAGTCAAGGAGATCCTGTGATCTGTACCTAAATCAGAATTAAGGTTGCCACCCTTACACATAGATGGCCCTAATTAGCTGTTAAAACTGCTGTGCTGAGTTTCTCTGTTTTGTTTGTTTTTCCAGGTAGGGAGCCTCGTGCTGGAGGGGAAACAAATAYAGCCACCATATATTTTTCCTTAGAAATAACTGCCTGTAAGCAGAGCAGATTTTTATCCTTAGAGAGTAATTTTTAACAGATTTTTGCATGTTTTGGTATTGCTTGYTACACTTTCATGCAGGCAGTAAGGTCTGTACTCATCAGTGAGGTGTTGAACAGACACTGCATGTCTGTCTCAACCAGACAACAGGGATCAAATCCAAAACTCCTTCCAAGTTTAAAAGCAGGATCTTTAAAGCAGAATAATTCACCCAATAGCTCAGCAGACTGAGGACTAGAGATGCCCCAGATTTAGGAGCTGAAGACTCAGTTTCCAGTGTTACCAATGCAATTTCCAAATAGTAGCTACAGCAGTAAGAGAAAAGAGCATTGTACCTGTTGCACAAAACCTTAAATTTGAAAATTTGTTTTGTTGGAGAGGCAAAACAATCTCTYAAAATGAGATTGTAAAAATCATCCTAATTTCTACCTAATCCTGCCCCTGCTGCTTCCTCTTAGCATTGCTCATTTTCACGTTGCCCTTCTGGAAGCAGCATGAGCCTCTTGCTCTTTCCCTGCCCTCACTTTCTGCCTCCACAGGCTCAGCCACCACCGTGGGAGTGTCAAGGGTTCTGCAGGCAGTGCTTCCAACCTTTGTGTTAAAAGCAAGATTCAGAAAAATTTCCCATGATAGAGACACACTTGGGAGCCGTTTTRAGCCATCATCAAGGAACAGTTTAACAGGGGGACAAAGCATATGGGGGACGTGAGAAGGGTAAAGGTTACTTGACTACACAGCTGAGAAATGATTGTTTATTCCTGAAGGGGGTGGGCTTTATAATACCAATCACTTTTTTTCTGTGTCTGCAATGCAGAAGCTTCTCTGTGCTAATCTTGGCACCGACATTGAAATTGATGTGTGGCCTTTAGGTAAGTCACTTAATCAATGTGTTTGTAAAATGAGGATAATAGCATTTATTTGCCTGCCTGAAATGGATGTGCTAAGGACAGACTGGTTAATGCAGTGAAATGTTATTTACTAGCAATTGCAAGTACTATTATGCTGAGGACTTAAACCCCTCCTTGACTGGTAATTGAAATAGCTGAAGAACCAAACAAAAGTCAGAAATGCGAAGGTGGCAGAGGTTTCAACAAAGGTGGAGCTGGTTAATCCCCTTCCTTTTCATGGAACTAATTATGCTTTGACTGAAGCAGTATACATCAGAAATGTCTCAGGCAGATACCTGCTTTTACACAGAATGAGAAGAAATATTGTGGGATTCACATTCAAGTCACTGGGTAATGTGGCATTGATAATGGGTCAGGGGAGGAGCTGGGTGTAACACAGAAATAAGTGTTCAAGCCTCTGCTCTGGGACACAGGTGCACTCAGGTGCACTGAGAGCAGGATGAGCAGGGCAGATAAGATGGAATTAGATGCATCATTACCATTTTCAACCCAATTAACATCCCAGTTCTTCAGGATTAAATAAGGTCTGTAACTTGCCTTTTGGTATKGCAGGCTAATAAAAAAAGAAGTCCTAAGAGTGAGAAGAATGAATAATGCTGTAGAGCAGTRTGAAGTAGATTAGGAAATTAATTACAGTAAACTGGTTTATCTTTGAGCTGTGCTTTGAGAACTCCTCTGCGGCCTCAGACTGCCCCCCCTTCTTCCACCGATGCTTTTTTTGAGAAGGGAGGAACATAAGATGGCTGGCTGGGGTGGCTAAAGGACCAGGTCCTCAAAAAAAATTATTTTTCCCATCTGTAATACTACTAAAAATCATCCCATTACAAACAACCATGTTTAGTTGATGGAGTAGTTAAAAGAAACTTTGGATTAGTTTCTCTAACAATCAATAAAGGAGCCATAATTTGATCCTTCCTTATGCTGAACGAAAKTCAACCAGCAGGGTAAGGCTTGACTAGAACTTGGGGGAAATAACTGCTTCAGGAATATTACACGKCTCACTTCWGCTGCTTAATATTTTCATGGTGAAYTCAYTTGGAATTTTTCAAGGATGYAGGGGATATTGCAGACTGTGATTGGCAATATTTCCGAGAATACATCAAGAGTTATAAAAAGAGAAGTGGTGGAATTGTTAAGTGAGGAATRACTTCCTTTGCCTTTCTCCAGTTTACAGCCTTGCTTTCCAGTTTCAAGTTTTACAATCCAAASTTGGGGCAAGCCCAGCCAGGTGGCTGCATCTCCAGAGCAGCAGTGAAAAACAGAGTGRGGCACCCGTGGCTCTTKGCAATATTGCTGTTGGCAGGATGGCTTTCTGCACATTTTGGAGAGGATATACCTTCCACCAAGCTGCAGAAGTACAAACATTTTGCTTTCTTCTGTAAATCAGCTCTTGGAGAGATTGCAAGTCACTGCACAGTGGTGTGGTACCCAGAGAGAATTGTCACACAGAGGCAAATAGTCCTGTGTTAATAAGGTTAGAAASAAAGAGGGGCCTCTTTGGGGCTCATCAAAACCTGTTAGCTGTAGGACACTCAAAGCAGGAGGAATCAAATGTATCGAGAGCCAGACATTAAAGGGATAAACTTGTGAGAAGGAGATTTATATTCAGAAATGAAGGATATGTGATGCCKTAGGCTCTTCAGGTTCAAAGGAGAGCATCTCGGGGGAGTTCTGCCACAGTAATACGTGGGCAGAGCCCTGTCACTCAGAAAAACTGCACTGAAGAGATTAGGCAGAGGAAAGGTCCAGCAACTGTTCTGATCCCATGGGAGACAGTCCTACTGGATATAAAGGCACTGCTGTCTGCCAGTCAGTGAATGCTTAAAAACAGTTCTGGGAATATTTTGTCCAATTGGTAAAAGAACATGCTCAGTAATTWAGTGTTCCTTTTGGGTTTTTATAGTCATAGCCTTACAGGAAAATCACTCAAAATGGCATTTGAATAGCCATGTCAAAATGTCTAGCAGTGGCAGAGTTCTAAGTATCCACAGGTAACAGGAATATCATGCAAGTTCAGTTGAAACGAGACAAATGCACTCAATTTTCCAGATACGATTTCTCAGATATAAATCCCAGATTACCATGGTCCCTTCCAACCRAGGCCATTCTATTACCCTGTGATTATCTGTGGATTACCTACAGACCAAAAAGAATGCACAGACAAGGTTCTGAATTCACAGAAAATATTTTAAACAGCTGGAGAAAAAGTTTCTTATAGACTTAATGCTCTGTATTTCCCTTCAATAACAGAGTGAATATAATTAAGTACTTAAATAATTATGTAATATTTCTGYTTTTTATGCTAAAAAGTTGCTCAATTTCCAATAAGATGCAGCAATTTTTTTTTTAGTAAGACTTCCTCTAGTACTACATGCTTTGAAGGTGTAATGATTTACTTATTCTTTATCACTTTGTGATGGAAATACTCATTCTATCGGAAAAAAAGTTCTACAGATGGGGTTGCCCTTTTTAGGAACAGTAGATCCTTACCYGGATTTTGGACAAGCACTGTCACTATCCAGTACTCAGCAGATACTCTGCCTCTCTGAGTGTTATCCCATAAGTGACACATTTGGCAGTTCACAAACTAGACATCCATCTACATTTAGAGAAAACCAGGATCTTGTTTCAACAGCTGAAAGGAAAGCCAAACAAGACTGCCTAGGGTTCTAATTTTTTAGGATATAATTGGATGTGCCAAGAGGATGGAGCCAGGCTCTTCTCTGTGGTACAAAGAAATAGGACGAGAGGCAAAGGGCATAAACTGGTGCACAGGGAAGTTCCACCTGAATATGAGGAAGAACTTACTGACTCAAAACTCCTGTGTTCAATTAAAATTCTCTCTAAAAAGAAACAGGTGCTGACTTGTTCAGAACAGAAATATATATTTTTTAAAAAAAAATCTTGTTCCACTTCCCATGTTTTTACTTCATTGGAACTAGTTATTCAAGGAATAACAGTTTTAATCAACAAGAAATTCAGTTTTCATTGACACACAAACAAGGTATGTCAGTCTGCCAGCAAAGATACATTCACTGAGTATTATGGTAATCAGTATGTACATTAGAAAAGGAGAATTTCCATCCACCTTTAATGAGCTATTCTTAGCTCCAGAAGTATTTCCTAACCCGTGATAAGRGGTATTTCCTAACCCCGTCAAACTCATGAGAGAGATTAAAAGTGTTACGAGAGGGGGAATTCCAAGTCATGTCAATTATGCAGCACCACATGAAATAATTATATTTGGTTACCCTTCAGAACGACATGTTCTTGAGGGATAACTTTTATGTACTGCTCCTCCAAACATGGCCACACTCTGAGTGTGCTGCTTTTGATTTTTAAATAGCTCACAGAACTATAACCCCTTACTGTTATCTCTAGCAATGAATGACAGTATTATATTTACAAGCAGATACCACATTTTTGAAAGATTTTTTTTTCCCTTAACTATCGTGGCTTACAATGTAAGACAAAAGAAATTAAAGGCTTTGTTCAATCTTCTCAAACATAATGGGAAGTTATCAGAGAAGATCTATACTTTTTACTAATAAAGATAACACACAATGCAAAAGAATTTTTTTAAAAGAATGAAATCAATCAAACCCCTTTCAGTTATTACGCAAACTTGCACTCAAAGCACTATGTAAAATATATTAACCTTAAAGGCAAAATGTACTCCATTTCAACTAAAAAAAATACTTGTTTTTGTATTTCTGAGTATTGAATTGGTTATAAAATTAATTTAATTTAGTACAGAAATATAACAGAGCCCATCTCRTTTCTCAGTAGTGAAAAAGGTCTTGATGTTTATGAAAAACTGAACCCTGACAGAAAAATGAAATTATGTGAACAAGCAGGACAGACACTAAAAGCTGAAATATTTCAGTTTATTCTAAAATGAAAAAAACAGGAAAAGACATTTGACTGTTTTAAGTTAAATGTGCAAAACCTTTCTAGATTTAAGAAAAACAGAAACAAGAGATGATAGTTTGCCTTTTTTTTTTTTTTTACTAATAGGAATAGCTATACTTCATGGCATAGAAATTAGAGAAACAGGAAACATATGGCAGTTATTTTTCTGTTGCTGGCAGTGTTGGTTTTTGTTTTTACAGTTATGAATACCCAAGCCCTCCTTTTGCAGAAAAGRAATGGCTCCTTGTGCAACTCCTTGCAACACCAGGGTAATACTTTGATGACACTTGTATCTCATATTTCACAGTCCTGTCCCTTCATCACCATGCAATGACATAGTGGAGAAACCATCGTGCCTATCTCATCCATTGATATGCTGCTCAATTTTCTTCCATGTAACTTTAAATTCCTTAGGGATATCAATGCCCCATGACTTACTGTAAAACAAAGGAAAAAAAAATCAGCATTAAATCAAAAAAGAACTAGACAAGAGACAGGGAGAGAGTAAACATGCAAGCATATAAATCAAGAAAATAAACCTAAAAAAAAAAATTTTTAAAGTATTCCTTTGGGATATTACAAATTTAATAAAGGCAGTATTTATAAAAACAGAGACAGCATGAAAATTCCTAAAACCTGAAAGGAATTATACTGGAGAAGTCAGCTAAAAAGTTTTATTTAGAGCAATGTAATACAACTCAGACACAGAGCTCTTCAGAAGTCCTCATTAAAATCTTATTCAGAGCTTCAAGTAACCCAGCAACTTGGACAGAAATCTGAAAAAATCCTATATTAATCACTTGTAGTAGTGCTAGAGTGGTTTCAACCTACCAGAGCATACACTTTTGGCAAGCAGAGAGACAAGACTGAAAACAAGCCCATCCATTTAAAAACGTGAAGAATGTGTATGCTATTTTATAGTGCCAAGAAAATAATAAGAAATAAACAGTTGGTCTTGCTTTTTCCTCACTTTTAGGTTGACTAACACATGTCCTTATTAGTCAGCCCTTTTAAATGTTAGGTATATCAGATGACTTAAGTCAGACTGATATTCACAGTGTCTTTTAATGGTATGATTGAAATAACAATTTGATTGTACAGGAGGTTATGTTGCTTGAGACTCAAGGGTTCCTGAATGACATCAAAGTAGTCACAGTTCACAGAAATCATATGTATGTACAGAAAACAATCCAGTGAAGATGTGAGTCTATTTTGAAATGATAATTTCTTAAAAGAAAAAAGGAATGACCACAGAAACAAAAAGATAAGTATTTGATACACAATGACCCACAGAAAATTTTGGTGGATACAGTTAAATTATGTGCTTTTCAGTTAGACACAAAAGTAATTTAAAATGAAAAAAGCTAAAGCATCCTGTGCAAATGACACAGTTAATACTTGCCCTTAAGTCCTGCAGAGGAAGGTTTTGTGTTCAGAGGACGATGGTCCAGATTTAGAGAATGACTCAGCTCCCTTTGTAAGTGTTCCTTGTGCGTGTGTTGAATCAGATGACAACACCGGAGTTACTCAGGAGGCAGCTGAAGGAGTGATTAGGTCAAAAAGGAACAGAAAATTAATGAATTTTAAGAGTAATTCAGTATTTTAACTGTGTGCACCTGAAACAGCAAAAGTAGAAAATAGGACAAATAATTCCAACAGTGTGGACAATTATCTCTCGAATGAARTAATCTCTTTGTTTGCAGAAATTAATTCTTTACCAGTAAAAGAACCAGATGATGACAACCAGAAAAATGTCAGGAGAGGCCTTAGTGTAGTTTATGTGACTTAAGCTTTRATGAGAGTAAAACATAAAAAGACTTTTGAAAGGATTCCTACTTTATAGTGCACTATTCCTTCCAGAAAGTACAATTATGGCTATTGTTTGACATCTGACTGACCAGAGAAAGTAAACTGTATCACTGATTAAAAAAATGCTAARCTTATAGAAGCTTGGTATTAAGGCAAAAATATATAACTATATAAATATAATAATGTGCACAACAATCATATTATATTGTATATTAGATATAACAATATATTCTGTCTATAATTTTGCCAGGAACACTGTGTTATGAGAGTCTGTGATGGCACAAAATAAATGGCAGATGGGTTCCAGAGACTCAGAATATCTTTAGGCCCATGTGTTCTCATTTATCCCACCACAATTATTCATATTTCAAATTCTTTGAGGAAAAAGAACTGGAATAAAAGAATACATAAAAATATTTGTAATTTTTACCAGGACATAGCATTTTGAATTATTAAGTATTTCTACAACATATTTAACAGTTGATTAATGTAAAACTAGTACACAATCACCTGATTTGCTCATGTCCTGAACAATTACGGATATTAGGCTTTTTGCAACATCTGTTGGGACTTTAACATAAATTTGGGAAATACTACAAACCAGAACAAATTGGAAGAAATATTTGCCTTAAGTTTTTTATATTCTATATTGACAAACTATTGAATTGCAGATGAGCTGTAAAACAGGGGTTCGTACTGCAATATTTTAAACATTTGTGATGTCTTCCATTTATAGACACTTTACTTGAGTAGCTAAATGACAAATTTGGGTTTAACAATGCAATGACCTCCAGTTTTATACAGCTCTGCTGACTGTGCACTTCAGCAAAACTACTGTGATTTTGAAAAATCAGCCTGTCTCTAACCTGTCTCCTGGATTCTCCACTAAGAAATTACAGTTTTATATTGCTGAAACTACTGACTTTAGTAAAGTAAATGGTTGTGTGATAGAGGAATGAAATTGCAGAGGATATTAGACATGTGAGAGCCCTGGAGTAAAGATACTGTGCAATATTCCATAAAGATACAGTAAAGATACTGTGCAATATTCAAACCAGCTTGAAATAGGTAAGAGAAGAGCAGATGGTGTAAGGAAAAGGTTTAAAAATAAAAGCAAAAAAAAWTAAAAGCCTTACCTTAGGCTGAGGAATTAGGATCCCCCCAACACAAACATCATTGTTCTTCTTGTGAAGAACAGGGACTGACGACTTGTAAAGCAAATCCCATCTATGGTCTGCATCAGGAAGACTGCCAAGCTCATGACTTAGAGGCACACTGGAAAGGTGATCACAACATCAGAAAGGTGAGGCTTTTCAGCATTAATGAGATAATTTAGACAGAGTATTCACTGGACTAACAGTAAATTCTTAACACTGTGCAGATGGTGAGTAAAGAAGATTTTCAGTGTAACAAATCAGTGGAAAATATGGGCAAACCCATAGTGAACCCTTCTAGTTGGGTTGGTGAATGACCACGCTTCTGCAAAAACTTCTGTAGGAGGAAGCCCACAGTCATCAAAGAGGACTGGGAATGAATGCAGCAGGTGTGCAGCTCTGTGTTCTGGYAATTAGCTAATTTACTGTACAATAAAAGAATTTTGGGCAACCCAGGTACTTCAGGATCACTAAYGATCCAAGGAAAGCAGAGAAATAGTAGTTACGACAATTTATGGTCTGGCTGCAACTCACTCCAGGCAAACCATGCCTGGGTAAGCAGTTCTGTGAAGGAAACTTTCCTGAAAATCTGGGAGAAAGAGGAAACAGATGGCAGTCAGAGCAAGCTGATGATAGGTGGACACTGAATGGAAGCTGACACTTGCGTTAAAAACCTCAGATCATAGTCCTGTGTAATCAGAGATTTCTGTCTCTGCCCCTTTCTCATGACCCAGCTGAGTACTGACTGCTTTTATTATGGTTTTACCTGTAAAAGACAAAATCAGGTAAACTGATAGGGAAATCGAGGAAAGAGAAAAACAAATCCAACCTGTTATTCTTACTACACACATCCACTCTACTCCTAGAAATATCTGCCCTCCTCTCCTTCTTTTAGAAGAAATGGCTGAGCTGAGGGAATGGCATATTCAGCAGGGACTAAGTTTTTGAGATGCAGATTCTTGCAAACAGTAGCAACTCCTGCTGTGAGTGAAGGTTTAACACTGTSTGAGCTTGAACAGGAGGCCAAGAAATTGAAAGATTGTATCATCTGGGGATGGATCACAAGCCAAAAGAAAGCAGAGATGTATTAGGGGCAGAAAAAAACTGTCAGTCTCTATTCAAAGTTTTGTGTGTAGCAGAGACAGGCAAGTCTAGAGTTATGACTAGGATCCATTTTAAGACCTGTAGTGGGTGTCCTGGGCACAGGAATGCATTTAGTTTTAGAGCCTGTAGACAATGGAACAGTACAAAAAGAGCTAGCAACCCATGTGAAGGAAGAAGTGATTCCAGGGGACACATAATAGCAAGCAAGGAAAACAAACAGAAAGTCCATCAGGAGTGCATGACTCACATGCTGTAAAAACGGCTTTTTTTTTTTTTTTTTTTTTTTTTTTTTTTTTTTTTTTTGGCAATATTTACTCTCATATTTCCATCTCTGGTAAAAGTGGCAAAAGGGGGATGACAAATTGAAAACAGTCAGAAAAGTAGTCTATGCACTGGTAGGAAATAAGTCTAGTAAGAGTGACTGCAGACATGTGAAGCCCTACTGCAGGAGCTAAGGCAAAAGTGTGAGAGAACCTGCACAGAGTGGCTGCTTAAGCTAAAATGAGATTGGGCACCAGTATTAACCATTTCATAGTAGGATTTAAATAACATYCAGACAGAATTTTGAGAGATAAAAGAAGGCTCAGAGATACCATTAAGAAAGGATGTTTGAGGAAAAATGACTGAAAGCTAGCAGCATTTGCACTATTCTAATGGAACTAGGATTGCATTAATTTGGAAAACCAAAAGTTACCTGTATATGATTGTAATTAATATATTACCAATGAAGACTGCTACTTGGATTAAAATACAAATATTTAGCTTTTTGTTCCAAAGAAGAACTGGAACCAAAGTGAAACAACCTCCAGGTGGAGGGTTACTGAAGTTATCTAATAGTATGAAGTAAATTTTCTTATTAAGTAGGAATGAAGAAGTTGTTTTATTAGTTAGTACTTCTACTTAAAGTATGCAGGAAACAGAAATGCAGCTAATAATCCTGGATATACTCAGAAACTCATACTAAGGGAGGTGCTGGGTGCCTGAGTAACTAAGATAACTATTAATAATATTTGGACCTTTTATTTTCCATAGATAACACAGTAYAAGCAATCCCTTCCAAATGTACTCACACTGTAAGATGTGTATCACTTAGTTTTCTTTACTRTGTAATTTTATTAAGCTGCACATACGGGAAAAGTGAAAGTCATACCACTTTTCTTTTAAGTTAAATGCCACGGCTGATTTCAAAAACAAGAGCATGATATAAACTTGGGTAATAAGAGAAAAAGGATCCAACCTAAAGGATTTATCTCTAAACAAGAAAAAATGTGTGTGAAGGGAGATTAGCTCTTACTAATCCATGAATATTGATGTTACTAACAAAAATGCTTGTGTGTATATATTTGTCTTGGATGAAGATTTCTCTATTTATAGAAAYGTAGAGTTTTCAGTGTTCTAAGAAGAAAAGGTGAATCACCAAAGCATAAACAATTTTCTATGGAAAGTTGTTTTGCATATAATACMACCACCTATGGCAATGGATTCCACACCTGTAAGTGTAGCTCTATATCAGTGAAGGCTGCACCTTCAGTTATTGTACTGGGGTATTTTAAGACAGAAAATAGTGGAAACCATGRGTCCCTAAAATGATGGAGTATCAAAATGTGACTTTTAATACATAACCTCTTGTAATTATTCAATTAATTCAGGTAACTTTGAGGATCTAGAGATACAGCAGTTCTGAGACGATGTCTGAGAGTATATATAATCAGATGATGCATTTATGAAGATGGGTAATTAAACATGATAGATGTTCTTCATAGTCTCTTTAGGCAGATTCCAGAAAACCARTGGCTCAAGACATGCATTACAAATGTAAAGAAATTAGTTTTCCATGTTTTGATAAATGCTTAGATCGGAATTTGACCAGGATGCAATTATGAAATAGCTCCAGTCTTTGTGCCATTATGTCTGTAGGATCCTGTTATATTCACATACATTCAGAAATCGCTGGGTCCATCTCAGAATGTGTAGAATGCATGCTGATAGGCACATATGAAATGTAAAGATTCATATTACACCATTACTTTAAAAGTAAGACTATGGTCTCTGACATTTACAGAATGTGCTTCGCTTACATCCTACAGTTGCAATTTTAGTTGCTCAATGGTTGTACAAATGATTATATATACTCTCAGACCCTTTAGTGTGCTAATTTTTTTTTTTTTTTTTGCGCAACAAGTATGCATTGCATATGTGTGTATATGTATGCATTTTTAATAAGGGTGTTGTTATTTTCTGAAAATTTTTCAAATTATCTGATATTTTGGACAATGATATTGTTAAAAKATTCATTGGTCTACAGCAAGTTTTTAGTTCCATATTTGGTCTACAGGATGATTTTGAGTGTAGCACTAAGGATCTGGCCCCTGCCCCGCCTTTCTGTTCATTCAAGACACTGGTGCTCACACCTGAGAATCAGTAGGGTCAACTGCCTCTGCCTGCCATGAAAAAGTAAACCAGAACTAATATTGACAAGATCTAAAAGGCTGTCTGTGGAACGCATTTTGGATTTTCAAAAATTCTGCATTTCACACACAGCTTGCACCAGATTCATGTGCTTTTCCTGCAGTGAACTTGGGATAGACTTGAATTCATGAATACAACTTAGGTATTATTCTGCTTTTTGAAAACTAAAATAGTTCTATACACACTAATGAATTTATATTGACAKAGCTGTCAGAGCATTAGCAGTGTGSATCTCCTCCTTTCTTCTCACCTCACTTGACCTCCCGAAGGATTAGATRTGTTACCCTCTGAACGATTATCTGGCAACCTCACTTTCTTTTCTGAGTTAAAGGCCAGGCAGCCTAAATGCCTGTASTGCTTCAGGGAGGAATGTGGGACTGCAACCAAGAAACGCCCAAGGTRAGATGTAAGATAAGTCCTCAGGGGTTTTAGGAAAGACAATGAAYAGCAAGAAAGCAGAATTGCCACATGCTTCTGTGGTGTTTCACTTGCAGTTCTAAGTGTATTAGACATAAAGGATACAATATTTGGTGAGTGTTAATGAGCTGTTTGTTTAATAGTAATAGATTGTTACAAAAGCCACTGCAATAATAGCAAGAATGTTCCTCTGGGGCAACTATCCCAGAGAATTCAAGCTRCTTATTTTCTAAGTGTTGGGGACTGGTAAAATACAGGTGACAACAACCAAGCATTGTGGTATGGCATTAAGGAGAGAGTCCAGAATGTTTTATGCTCTTCCCCAAACACATACACACATATGCAAACACCAGAAAGCAGCAGTACTGGGAGTGGTAGAAAGTTGTTACTATTGGCAGTAATTGCTTTAGAGAAAYAGATATAGAAGGCATACAACCAACAGAGTATCTACAACATCCAAAAATATTATATCACTYAAGATTTTTTTTTTTGGTACTTTGTATCTGTGAACTATTTCACAAATTCCTACTTGATTTTTTAGTAAGATTCACAGACATTTTCACAATGAATATTGTTCTACATCTGCTGATATTTCTAAATTGGTATTGCACCTTGAAGCATCTTGATTAATGTGTAAAGAACTTTGAAATATACATTTTTTGACATTCTGTTATAGGAAATAAGGACACCAGATCATAATCCTGCTGYATTATTGTGAAACCAAGAAGCAGTCATTATTTAGGACTTTCAGGTTGTTGGAATGTGTTTTTATTTTGCTCTGAATGCTAAGTGAAAATGTCATTCCCATCAAATGTGCTTACTGGAATTTCGCCACCCTGAAACTGGCTTTTTAGTGTTTCAGTTTGTGTATTMGTTCTGATCTTTGAAGATGCGGTTATGTAAAGCTCCTGAAACCATGACAGGTCAAAGGTAATACTTTAAAAGATAATATGAACACCCTACATTTCTTATAAACCCCARTCCCAAAATTCTCAATCCTATAAACTAATTAATAGGCATACCAACAGATACCTGGAATGTTTGCTGCAAATTTCAAGGATATGTGCTTTGTTCCTCATATATAATCAAACAGTTGAAGCCTTGCTAGAAGCAGAGTTTTAATTATGGAACAGACATGATGTTTGGCAGCAGCTGTGCAACTCTGACCATTTCTTTTCTCCTATGTGTCTCACCTTGGCGAATCCAAAGATAGGGATAAGTGTCATGGGATCATAGAATAGCTTGGGTTRGAAGGGACCTTTAAAGGTCACCTACTACAACTGCCCTGCAATGAGCTAAGCTCCATTCCCAATGTTTGACCTCTCTGGGAAGAGTAACGGGATAAAGGATAATTATTTTTTTAATAGGGGCATTTGCATTGGATCTGTGTGACAACWGTGCAGTTAATTCCTTATGGGTCCTTTAATAAATAACATGGGACAATATGGCTGGCCAATGTGGCAAAATAAGCGAATTTTCTTTCAAATTTGGAAGCCTGTTTTGTGTTATGTACTAAATGTGCAGAAAACAATCCAAAAGTGGGAAGCTGTGATGGGTACCATACAATGCTCAAAGTCTGATACCTCTATAAAGCACAGGGGATCCTTCATGACAAAAAAAAAAAAAGATTTTTTTTCCTAGCTTAATTCTTATGGTTTATCAGCTCTGTCATCTTTTGTAAAATAAGTGCAAAATATTAGTGAATCAAAACAGAGGTGCTGCATGACAGGAGCAGTGATTTTTCTTTTCAAAACTTAGATTTCTCTTTGGACTTTGCATATTTAAAAACCATCTAAATTGATTTTATAATYTTAACTATACAGTTGCTGCTCAGCATCACTGCAAAATTTTAAAGTACACATAACTAATGCATGAACATCCTTAGACAGACTACTCCAGARTAATTACTATACTCCAGCCCTACTGGTAACTGGGTGGCAGACACACRCCTTAGACACCACTCCTATATGATCCACTGCTGTCCCCATAAAAGCGCAGTTATTCCCARCAGTCCTTTCTGTTTCTACTGGCAGCAGTAGCTGGCAGCTTTGTATCCATSCCTGACAAATGCACAAAGACACATTCAGCTGTTGGGACAATATTCATTGTCTAAACWGCCGGTTTTGCCTCCAGGTAGAGGACTAAATAGCAGCGTCCTGAGAGCCAACCTCGGCTCAYGGTGGGAACACCAGGATCATGGTGTAATCAATGATCAAAATAACACATGCCTTTGTATCTTGGAGTTACTTGTGACAAAGCAGGCAGATAAAATCATGCCCAAATTGCAAAATGAAACATGAGTAGATACAAATGATACACTTATCCATTTCCTTGTTCACAGAGTTTTAAATATATCACTGGGGCTTTCCCAGTTAGAGACAGGGGATATCTGCAAATTTAACTGCCTGAAGTTCAAGGTTGCTTGGATATGAAGCTRGATGCTGTGTCATTTCTACTAAAAATGAAGGTGAGGAAGGGGTCCCTGTCTCCAGGGAGGTGGAGCCACAACTACATTCCAACACAAATTGATCATTTATAGATGTCTCACTTGTGTTTATGCTTAAAAGCTAACAACAGGGCAATGAACTTGCTTGAGCTTCCTGACAAYGAATAAAACAAACAAATAAAACAAATGTGCTAAGACTGAAGGTCCTGTTTCCAACACTCATGCATTCAAAGTCTGCAGGAAATGCAATCCCATCTCCATTTCAACAGCAGGTGCCCTCTCCAGTATCAAACACTTGGAAGCCTCAAAGCAGCAGCACAGGTGACATGCAACTGTTGTAAAAAAGCCCAATTTCCTRGCTCTTGAGAATAAGCTGGAATTTCTCTTCTCCTTTTAGTCTGCCAAGCTAGTTAAGTGTGAGAGTGAGGGTGACCCATTCACAAAAGAAAATGATGCACGTAATATGATGAAAGAAGCAAAAAGACGATGGTAAGAGTTGTTAAATGGTGGTTTAGCACAGGCACTGAAATCACTGCCACACAGAAAGCTTTGAGAAGCCCAGGTAAATTTAAAAAGTTTTTCAGTCTCCAGTGACTGAAGAAATGGTGGCTACTGTGAAAAAAAAAGAAATCTTGATCTATCAAAGTTCAATATGACAGGTAGTTCATCTACACCACACATGCTACTTCTTTCAATAACCAAACCAAAACTTCTTGGGCCTCCTGTTGGGCACCTGCTCTAGAAAACAGTATGATTATTGCCCTACACAGTCTTAGGACAGAAAAAYTGTTGCACTCCATCAGGAAGAAAAGAACAGAAGTACATGGATTTTTGCCTGTGTAGTTAGAAACTGCTACAAGGAAGGAAATACGGTGTAGTTAAGTGTACACACAATGTTGATGAAACAAATCACTACAGAAACTTTCACTGTAGCCAGTTTTGGGTGCAGTAATAAATAAACTGTTAGTGTTCATAACACACTGTGGTGTTAGTCATCTGGCAGACAGGAAGGCGAAACAGCACTTAAATTCAGAGGAAGCCAAGATAGCGGGTATGAGTCTCAAACTGAGGACAACAATTTTGGTGAYGGTTGTGGGAACAAGTTAAGGTATTCAGAAGCTGAAAAGTTKATGAACTGCGGCTGAAAAACGTTCAGAAGAGGCCTCTAAATAAACTTTCTCACTACACGTCTAAACAAAGCAAAATTGCTGGACCTTAAATAAAAGTGCTCAGTGCTGGCCTAGAGGCATGGTCAGGCTGGTGATTAGTTGCCTTGGATATTTGGTGGCCTATCCGAAAACGAGACATGCTGATATTAGGTCAAAAATTTCCACAGACATCTACCTGTGCTATTCAGCATTTACAGCTGCACTAGGATCAGTTGCACTAATCTTACCACATTTGGAGTATTTTATGTGTCTGAYAAAGCAATGTTTTGCTGTATAGACACGGTGTTGATGAGAACTCATGGATGTCCCCAGTCTTGTTTTGCTGAGCTGTATGTGGGCATGCCAGCACCCTATCAAACAGTCGAGAAACTTATTCCAGCGCTCACGATGATGCCAAATCTGCTTGGGGGGGTGTTAATGCTGGCTGGGGTGTGCGGTGGGCTTTRCTTGTGTGGGAACGCAGAGCTCACCCGGCAGCTGACACGCTGAAAATGACATCAAAGAGCCACTAAGAAAACAAACTGGGGAACCGCCGAGCCACGGCAGGCAGACATCCCCCTCCAGCGCGGGTCGGCTCCCGCAGATGCTTTTCTTTTTTTTTGGTCGCAGTCTTTTAATTTCCTCTGCTGTCGCCCCACGCCGTTCGGAGCCCGGTGGCAGCGAGCAGGAGTGGCCGGACCGAGCCCAGCGCCGAGGGGTGGCCGGACCGAGCCCATCGCTGAGGGCAGGCTGGGCCGAGCCCATCGCCGAGGGGTGGCCGGACCGAGCCCATCGCCGAGGGGTGGCCGGACCGAGCCCATCGCCGAGGGGTGGCCGGACCGAGCCCATCGCCGAGGGGTGGCCGGACCGAGCCCATCGCCGAGGGGTGGCCGGACCGAGCCCAGCGCCGAGGGCAGGCCGGACCGAGCCCATCGCTGAGGGCAGGCTGGGCCGGGTCGGGCTGAGCCGGGCACCCACACCGCGGAGCCCCGGCCCCGGCGCACCGCGGGCGGGGAGGGGCGGCGGAGGCGGCCCCGGCGGCGCCCCGGGCGGTGGGCGGGGAGAGGCAGGGGCGCCCGGCCGCCCGCCCGGCCCCCTCCCCGGCTGTATTTAGCGGCGGCGCGGATCGCGCGGAGCCCGCGGCGGTGACATGGCCGCCGCCAGCACCGAGCCCCCGCAGCCGCCTCGGCTGCAGCAGCTGCTGGAGCGGGATCCTTACCTGGCGCCTTTCCGGACCGACTTCCAGCGCAGGTACCGCCGGGCAGAGGGGAGCGCGGAGCGGCCGCCCGTCTGCCTCTGGGGGCGCCGGGGCGGGCGGTGTCCCCTCCCCCGCGCCGCTCTCCCCTCCCCTCGGCCGGGGCGGCTCCGCTTCCCTTCCGGCCGAGTCGCCGCCGCCGCGGGCGGAGCCGCCGTCGGGGCTCGGCGAGGCCTCCGGGGCCGGGGCGCTGCAGGGAAGCCTCGGGCGCGGGCCTGGTGGGGCCGGGCCGTCCCGACCGGAGCCGGCACTCCCCGGGGCTCTGACCGCCTCGGGCCCGCCCGGGAGCGGCGGGGGGCGGCGGTGCCGGGCCCCTGGGGCGCCACCGGGGACAGTTTGCGACCATCAGGGAATCATGGAAGGGACCTTATAGATCATCACGTTTCRATCTCTGCCGTGGGCAGGGACACCTCCCACTTGTTCAGGTTACTTAGAGCTGCATCCAGCCTGGCTTTGAACATGTACAGGGATGGGACTGCTGCAACTTCACTGGGCRACCTGTGCCAGGGCTTTRCCACCCTTACAGTAAAGATTTTTCTTCCTAATATGTAATCTAAAYYYCCTCTTAGCATAAACTTATTTCTCYTTGAACTGTCTCCTTTACTGTATTACATGTAAAATAGCCTAATCCTGTCTTTCGTCAAAAGCTCCTTTTCAGGTACTGTAAGGCTGCCATTAGATTATTCCTAAGCYYTCWCTTTYACAGGCTGCTCAATCCCAATTSTCTCAGCCTTTCCTCACAGGAGAGGTACTCTGTCCCTCTGATCAACTTGGTGGMCTCCRCTGGACTCATCCCAGCAGGGCAATCACCCTTCATGTGCTGGGGAACCCAGAGATGAATGCAGTCAGGACATGAGGATGATGCACTGAGCTGTTGTCGCTGGCAAAAGTGTTTTTAGCTGCATTAATCTGTAAATAAACTGCTCCCAAATCTCGTCTTTCTGGAGAATTTTCCTGCAGGCGCATGTTTTGAGGTGTCCCTGAATCGCCAGCTCAGCTGTTCAGCAGACCTGCAATGTGTGAAGTAGCAGAGTGTATGTTGGGTTGGTGCAGGGTCACCGCTCTGGGCATCCCTTTTTTTTGTGCCTCTCGTTGGGCACTGTGACACCAACTCTRTCCAGGCCTGGGTGAGAGCCTGCTAGCAGCAGCTTGGGCAGAGGAGGCCTGAATCCTGCAGAGCCAGGCTGCTGGCCTGGAAAAGCTGCTGAGACCTCACCCGCCGGCTGAGCACAGCCATTGGGAGCTTTTATGCTGCACATTTATATGTTGTGTTTCACTAGTGGTCCTCTGGYAATCAAAATAATTGTAATACTGACCAATGCCCTGTGTTCCAGAAGTCTGGGAAAGTCTGTGTGTGTGAGGGATGTAAGAGGGAATATATWTTTTTTTTCTTTTTACCATCTTAAGCTTTTTTTTTTTGTGTTACTGTATTCTACATGGTTTAACATTGCCAGGTATCCTGTTGGGTTCTGGTATTGAGTAGTTGTAAATCTAGATCTTGTAAAATAGGATTAAGGATTGAGTAAACTATTAGGCTGACTTGCAGAGTATTTTCTCAAACTAATCTTCTAATGACAGAACAACTGAGAGTTTTATACAATGGTTCCTGACAAGTTCCTGGCTATACATTTAGTGCTGTAAAACACCTAATTTTTTGGTGGGATGCCAGGGTGTAGGAATTAATAAGTATGTAGATCTGGCTCTTAATAAAAGTACTCATTAAAACATTAAGGCTTCCCAAATGTACCTGCCATCAAAACAGGCATAGTGTGGGTAGCAATATTTGTATTTGTGAGGATGGTATGACTGTACTGAGTACAGTGAGTTTGCAAAACTTTTGTATGCTTCTTTGGTTTTCTGGAACTTCTTTGGTTCTTTGGTTTTGTATTCTTCTTTTGGTGGAACTTCAGATGGTTCTGTCTGTGTCTTGTCACTTTCTGGCTCCTGAACCTCCCACTGGTCACTTTCCATAGAATCATTGTGGAAACATGTATACTGTTAATTAATTAARAAGAATAAAGGAAAACACTTGAGGCAGTCTGTGATAAACTGGATGATTTGTTCTAAGCCCAAAGCAGCAGCACATCCTTTTGATGGTAAAGAGTGCCAAGGAGGACTTGTAAGCACAAGGAAATGCTTGTTGGTGTCTGCATGCAATGCTCATTGTAGTTTCTATGGATTCTGATTCAGTCTGTTTACTGGCTTCAGGTGTGTTTTATCAAGAGCACTCCGGAGAAAGGAGTTTTGCAGCCTAATTGCTGCTTGTGTGAAAAACCAGCTTGTTAGGGCCTTCAGTATATGGGAATTGCTTACTTTATGTCCAGATCCTGTGCTGGGTGAGGCGGTGAACAGCYCTGCACTACTGTGTTTATGGAAATATGTGGTCTTTGTTCCAGGCTGAAGGAYCTTGATGCATTTAACTAGTGGTTGTATGACCCAACAGTGTGGCATGGGACTCATATGGATCTGRGATCCATGAACCCAATGGATCTGGTTTCCTACACTACATTTGGTGTAGGAAAAGGCTGTGATAAGCAAATATGTGTGTTAAGAGTTGATTGTCAGCTGTTTGCCATGGCCTCATCTTAAGTAGGACAGGAGAACTATCTCTAAATATATAGTTGGTATTAGCAATGAATTTATTTTTGTRAAGTAGGAAAACTGAGTAGAAATGATGTTACTCAACTGCTGAACCAGTGACAAGCTGTTCGTTATTCCTTCTGATACTGCTGACTGTCTCTAACTTTGCGCCTGATATCCCTGCCCAGTGCCATTGTTTTCCACTGGAATAGTTTGGACAGCAAATGTACATGTGATTTCTCAGTTCAGAAGGTTGAGTTTWTCCTGATAAAGGGGGCAGAAGGCAGATTTGGTGCCTGGCACCCTGTAGCACTARAGTGTTTTACTTGCTTGGATTAGGAAGCTTTGGGAAGAATGGAAGTGGAAGAGACTTGATCAAATGCAATATACATGGATGCATTTCCTGTAGTAGTCTGAATCTCTTCTTAGAATTTGTRATGATACTTACCTTACTTAATATTAAACCAAATCATCATAGAGTGATGGAAATTTTACAGCTTACAGTTATCATACTGTGTATTGCCTAAAGAAATAAAAATTGGGGCTTTTTGCAGAGGATTAAGGATGCTTCAGAAGCAAAGGCTTTTAATTTGTTTTTTTTTTTTTTTTTTTTTTTTTTTTTTTTTTTTTTTTTTTTTTTTTTTTTTTTTTTTTTTTTGGTGGAGATCCTTACATTATGCCTTGTGCAGTAGCATGTGAACTAGTCCTCCCTTTATCTTGCTCAGTAAAAGTTCTTTTGTAGAAGTGATGGGAAATAAAATACTTGGGGCCTAATCTTGGCAGTGACATCAGCAAGCTGCTGAATTGCCCTTTGGGCTTGAGTCTATCTGCTCTCTTATCTGTGGCACCATATTAGCATAGCCAGATTATTGTTAGTAGAAAATTTTCTAGCTGTGTGTGCGTGGCTGTCACAGGCTGCACAGGTGGTTGGGTTATTCTCACAATCAAAGATGAATTGTTTCTGGTGTTGGTTTAGGCTGCTCGAGAACCTTTTGGGTTGTTCTGGGTCTCTCTGTGTGCTTCCACAGCCTCCTTGGGCAGCCTCTCCCTGTGTTTGCCTATCCAAATTGGGAAAAAAGTCTTTTTTAATGCTGTAACTTGCATTGATGCAACTTTGTTGCTTCTGCTCTGTTCTCCCTATCTGCTTTAGAGAACAGCCTGACTGTTTTTCAGATACTCCCAGCTACCTGTCCCTGTAGATAACTTAGAACTGAGTGGATATGAGCAAYCCATACCTCCTCAAGTTAGTTTTTTCTTATCTAGTCTGAGGAAACCCATCTCGCAGGTCCTACCTTTGTGCCATAGGCAGTAAATGACAGACTAGGAGCAAGATGCTGTCTTCTCGAGAGGCTTTAGCCTGTTCCTGCTCATCTGTGCCTTGAGAAGGTGCAGGCTTCTCTTGCTGGGGTTCACCTCTGCCTCTCCTACCCTGTGCTGTGCTCCTTCACCCTCAGATTGGTGACCAATTGTGCACAGCAGTGTAGCTAATACTGAGATCTTTGTGCATTCTTTTGGTTTTCCTTTCTCTTGAGGGAGTGGGTTGCTGAAGGATAGACAGGCTTTAGTCACATCAAACTGGATTCTGCCGTGTAATATGATTATCCTGATCCACCTTGAGAATTGCCAGGTTTGTGATGAAATGAATCATGATGTTGCCTCAAGTTCTGAAAATTTTCCTCTTGCTTTCCAGGACTGTCTCCTTTCACCTCCTGTAAATGTAACTTTGTGCTTTAGGCGACTGACTGTTTTCCCTCTCTTTCATAAAATCTTGAGAAATGCTGAATGAGTGCTTTGATAGGAACAAAGGGTTTCTCTAAAGTAGTAATATCTAAAATGTGAATGGTAGGACCTAGTAATGTCCTAAGCATGGAGGATGGACTGGAAAAGTTAAATGAGTGACTAGGGGGAAGAAAGATTACTGGTAACATTCCCTTTTTAATACTTTGTCATGCCTGGGCATGGAGTGGTCATGGAGAAAATAAAAATCTGTACTTTTTTCTTTTGCTAAATGCCTAAATGTGACCCTGACTTGAGGAAGGAGTATCTTCTTTGAGATGAGGGGAAATCAGTGTATACATATGATTCTTTCAGCCTTGACCCAAATGCATGCTATTCAGATCTCTAAACAAGAATCTACTTAWAAAACCAACCAAACAAAAAAATCCCCTAGTGATAGTGTTTGTGTAGGGTATCACTGTGCTACATTGTTTGACCATCTGTGATATGTTTTCCCACAAGTATTTTGTTAAGTCTCAAGTGTTATTTAGACTAAAGACTTTGTATAATTTAGTATGTATTTTTAGTCTTTTACCTCTTAGAGCATAATTGGTTCAATTAAAACCATTAATGCCTGTGGTGTAATTGCATTTTATGGAATTATAAACTGGCGTTAGAAAGTGCTGCCTATTCAAATTTTCTGGTGTAACAATGTGCATGGCTTATTATATTTTACAATTCCATGCAACTGCCTCTGTAACATACTGATTATGTGGTCATTGGTGAAAGCATTTTTTGAATA